GAGAGAGAGAGAGAGAGAGAGAGAGAGAGAGAGAGAGAGAGAGAGAGAGAGAGAGAGAGAGAGAGAGAGAGAGAGCCTGAGGTACAGGCCCAACGGCCTGGATGGGTCCATCGACCGGCCGCGATCGACGGTCCGGATCGCGCTGATCCAGACCATCGATCTGGCAGGACCCGACGGCCATGATCTTAGATTTCTTACATGGCGCAGACGATCCCATGGGCCGGTAGGACCAACGACGGCCTGGATCTGAGATTGGTTCCCTTGGGGATTTTACCGGTGCAGATTTCTTACATAGCACAGATGATTTAGGCCGTGGGCCGGTCGGACCAACGGCAGTCTGGATCTGAGATTGGTTCCCTTAGCGATTTCAATAGTGCAGGGATCACAGAGAGAACTCGTAAGTTCGTAACTGATATGTCATCATTTTTTTCTTTTCCCCCGTCTTTCAAAGGAACACGGGAAATGTCAAAATGATGCCTCTGGAATGTGTGGGAGAGAGTCTCCCTTGTCTTTCATCAATCATAGTTTCGAAGCTCGTGCACATGCGTAAGGTTAGCTCGCACCACACTATTACGGAGTGTGCATAGGTTACCAGAGGTCGTCGAATTACATCTGCACCCTCCTCTCTCCATGAATGTACGTATTGGCGACAAGATGGTGTCCGGTTCCGTAGCTTTACCGAAGTGCCACTCCACATCACAAGCAACATGCATCCTCCAGACCCAGACAATTGCCCTTGTTGACAAGCTTTCCTGTATTGTACTGACATTGTTGACGGGCATGTGGCCACAGTCGACTACACTGCATTTTGTTGACGTGGTTTGGTCATATTTCTATTTGTTATCCCACACACATATTTTTGGGTTCTCTTGTATGGAGGCTCCAAGTATGGCCTTGAATTCCACGGATGTGATGAAAAAGCAATGAGGCTCCGTCTATATTGCCAAATTTATAGCAACCATGGATCAGCAATCGACAATGAGTGTATAATGACAGTCCCTCTCGGTTACTCAGAATGGTGACAACGATTTTTCAAGATGCCGACGGGATATTCCTCCAGTTCTGTCTACCTGGCACCTACTACGGCAAATCTTGACCAGCTCTTCATCCATTCCTTGGGGTCACTCAGCAAAACAGTCTCTCCCAAACTGCAGCTCGCTCATCTGCTCGTCATGCTTCCGCTTCCGACCTGAATCACAGGCCCCCTCATAAACCTCTCGCAAGCACAACAATGGCCTCTTGCCCGCTTGGCTATGCTCTCCAACGCGTGTGACCGGGTCTCTTCACAGATACTGCGCTTTATCAGGAAAGTGGCATCCGGCGCTGCTGGACTGTTTTCGAAGTGTCGAGGAGGTCATCTCGGGTCCCAAGCAGAACGCGTACTCCCTCTGAGGTTCTATGGCACACACAGCCGAGTTTACCACAATGCCCGCTAAGCTGCCACACGATCCTGTCCTTACCAATGTGCCAAATGCTGTTCATGAAGCACATGATTCTGCCGTCACATCGATTCAAGAGGACAGGAGGCCAGTACAAGGGTACATGACAGTGGGAGGTCCTCATCAAGGGGAGTGGGTAACTTTCACATAATTCGGATATCAGTGACGGATAATAGAACAGCACCTGCGGTTTGTGGTCTCTAACACTTGTCTTTATGCAGCCGATGGCACCCTGCACCATCATGTCCCCTGTAAGTCTATGGGCACTAACGTCGGACCAGCAGTTGCCAAGCTCAAGCGTTATTTGGACAAGGCACGATTCATCTATGACCTTCGCCAGGGCGACTTCCACCGAGGGCGTGCTCACGGGACAGATACGAGGTCCTATGTAATAGTACCACCTACTCCAAGGCTGCAGTGACGTCCTTGACTCGACGTACGCTTGTTACGGGCCATTCCTCCAGAGTACTAGCTCAAGGTTGGACTGCTTATGTGCATGGCCGGCAGCGTTGGCTGTCCACTGATGTCACCCAGCTTACGTGGTTTCGCCACATGGAACGCTGGTAACTGCCCACCCCTCCGCGATTGCCGATTCTGAGCATAGGCAGCATCAGTCCTCCATACAGCAAAATGGCGCTGTTGCAACCCAGCCTGCAACCCGGTCAACCATAGCATATAGCATGCCTGAGGTGAAGATGGTTGCAAGGGATGACAGTCTGCACCCCCCATCACAACGGCTTCTGCTCAATGTCAGCCGCTACAGACTGAAGAACGACAGCAGACCAACCCTAAGACTGATGGTTCCCACTGTTTCCCACCTACACACCCTCAGCCCCGTCCAACCACCACCCCCTTCAGTAGCATCTTCCACATCATCATCCTCTGTCTCCTACTTCCCCTCCTTCATCGTCGTCTGTCTCCTACTTCCCCTCCTTCATCGCCGTCGTCATCATCGCCGTCATCGTCCTCCTCCTCCTCCTCCTCCTCCTCCTCCTCCTCCTCCTCCACCACCCCTTCTTCCTCCCCTACATTATCGTCTTTGCCATCCTCATCCCCAGCATCATCCTCACATTCACAGTCAGATCAGCCGTTACAAATTCCCTGTCGAGGCAGATGTGACCCATCGCCACCGCCACCTCCCAGACAGAGGTCTCGTCGGTCCTTCAACAGTATGATCACTGCCCCTTCAGTGGAAGTCAGAGATTTGCTCTGCTGCCATGCTCGCAGCTGCACAGAGCAACGTCATTGCTCCCGATGCATGCAAGCCAGGAACAGTGGACGAATCCACTGTCCACAATATGGAAATGATTTTTACAACACTGCAGGATTGTTGTGTGCACCAGACATGAGGTGCAGCCACCTGTGCAGCATTTGCACAACTAGCAGCCCGCTATGTGCAATTCTGACTGATCAGCATCCACTTCGTGCAATTGACCCCCCCCAACTTCAGATTTCCTTCGCCCCGACTGCACCCCCCCTCCAAATGACAATGACCCACCCTCTGATCCTTGATTGAACCCCCAAGTGCCACTCCATAGTAGTCTGCTCAGGTGGTGCATACTGAGAAGTTGTGAGATCTCTATCAAATGTGTCTCCCCTCTGTCCCCCAGCCTCCCTCCTCTCGCGCAAAACCTCTCCCTCCCACAGTGTTTCTGTTCTTTGTTTGTTTAGGTGACTGACCCTCTGCTTTTTTCGTAGGTACGCCGGTTCAATCCACACGAAGGAGCATCATTAAGAGGACAGACAACAGATAAAGTGAAAATCTTTGTATGTAGTACGAAGAACTGTGAACTGAACAGTGAATAGTACGCAATACTCAACAGGACTATCCTTCCCCCTTTACTCGGCCTCTTTTTCATTGTGCGCAAGTGGCCCGGGTAACACGGGCAATCGATGCTGGCAGGTGACACAGTGAAGTTCAGCCTTGAGATGTTCAGTGGGACGCTGGACCCGTTTTCCAGGCAGGTGCTGCTGCCCACCAATAGATGGGAGCGAAAAAAAAAAAAAAAAAAAAAAAAAAAAACTTGAAAAAGTCACATGGTGATGTGGGCAGCAACCACAATCAACGTGGCGAGCCTCGTACGTGTGAGGAACAGTAAAAGGGGATGAGCAAGAAGACATAAAAAAAAGAAAGGGCAACAAAGAAAGAGCTGCATAAACATAAGGAAAAGGCAATATAACGGCAAAGGCAGAACTGCATGACGACGCGCAATATCACAGTCTTTGCGTGCTTCATTATGTTTGCTGTAGAAGATTCAACAATCAAAGAGTTCTTTTCATTTCTGGATCTACTGGGTGGAAAAGCGGTTGTTATGGCACAGTCATGCTTTTTTTTTTTGTGAGAGTTGTGTATAGTGAGCACGCATGCACACACACACACACACACACACACACACACACACACACACACACACACACACACACACACACACACATTGCCATTCACATGAGACGCGCAGCCTGCATCAGGCACAGTCTAGCACTGAAGAGGAGCAATTCTGGAGAGAAGATTGGTTTGAGTATCACAGAAAAGCAGGGTTGGAAAATGTATCAGACATTGTAGAGAAGCAATTGTAGGCACAAGAGTTGGATACAAGAAAGACGAGGACTGTGTATCAGAGAAAAGCAGTGTCTGATTGACTCTGACAGTCTGACTCTGACATTGAAGAGGAGCACTTGTAGAGAGAAGAGGTGGATGGTAGATAAGAGAGAAGCAGGGCAAGGGAAACGCAAGGCATCCTAGAACTTCCTTTCCTTGAATTGAAATTGAAATGAGACATCCGAAAGCTACATACCAACACATGATGGAGTTTCCATTGCCGATTCCACCTCCCAAATCTATGAAGTGATTTTGTGAAGAATGTCTGCCGCCTCTGCAGTACAATCTCTCGCTTGTGAGCTTGCGCCACTCACACACTCTACCTCTCTCAACGACACTGCGGCACAACATCAATGGACAACAATGAACAATGCCACGTATGGCAGAAATCTGAAAGAAGGTTTGCTTCCCGCATGCACACCGACCTTCAGCAGGAAAATGACCTCTCCTCTCCGTGTTTGGGGAAAAAAGACAAAAAAAAATAATCAAAATTCAAAATTCACCTTCAACAAAACGGTATAGTTGCCACCGACTATAGCTCTCCCAACTTCTAGACCAGCGCAGACGGAGTAGGCAGGCAAGAACACCACCCACCGTCGACAGAACCTGTGGCCAACAGATTACATCTGATCACCACCACCTTCCACATAAAGGCGATGGACAATCTTGGAAAACAAGTCATAGCCGTGCTGACAGCAGACCGCCCGGCAGCAGACAGAGGGCAGGCAAAACACCATCCACCTCAATGCACTACAAGTGCCGACAACTTGCATCAGCACTCGTAACACCCGTGCTTGTTAAATGCACATGCCAGCATGTCAAAGCCCCTCCATTCCTGTTCATCAACCCCCCACAGCCTGAACAATGAACTGGGGTTAGAGGAGAAAGATGAGTGCATGCACGCAAAGCACAACAAGCACGCTAAACACTGACAAAGACACCAGAATCTCAGCTCCTGCATACGGAAACCCACCCTTTACACATTGCTTCCTTATGTATTTCGCAGGCAGAAGTTTGTAGTTGTGCATTTGCTCCTTTGACACATTGTGGACGAGAGAAACGTTGTGTACACAGTTTATGTAACGAGCGAGTGCTCTTACACATCGCCTGCGGCACTGTCTGATGAATGTGGGTGCATGATCCGATACCCTATCTGTAACTGGACAGCTGCCATTTATCTGTTGTCGCAGGCGCAAACACCAGCGCAAGTATTGAAAACAGAAGACCAGTCCCAAGACCACCACATGAACTCTCCGGCACAGGTGATCCAGCTGTCCATTTAATTCCTCGCTCGTCAGTGTTTGATGCCAGACCAGAGACCAAAAGATCCCACAAGGATTTCTCAGTAAACCCCTCCCTTGTGTCACTTACCTCAAACAGTTCAGACCCCCCAAATCTAGAAACCCCAAACACCAAAACAGGCAGCAAGTTTACCAGCAGCGCAACAATACCACCCACCACCAAACAGAACAACCAAGGCCTCTCATCCATCCAGAAGAAAACAACAATCTCTGCTTTCATTTCTTTCACATGCAGCGAAAACACAGCCAGAGACCAGAGAGGGGTACATATCTGACACCTCCTTCACCAACTCCCCTCCATCCATCCCCATTCCCATGCATATCCGGCATCATTCTCCGTCCAACATAGCCTACCTTCCCGATCACCCATCTTTCCCCCAACCCCCCACCCCACCTTTCTAATGCCATCTCTCTCTCTCCGAGACCCCTTCTCAAATGCAACAGCTCATCTGACTTGCTTGGCACAAAAACAACAAAAAACAGCACCCCCCCCTCAGCATATCACCAACCCTCCACGGGAGGATGCACTTGGATGTCTTTATCCTTTGGCTCCAGAGTCGTTGAAAATCCATCCCTTGCAAGAAGTAACAAAACACACACATGCAAAACCAAGTGGCAGAGTGCCATATTATCACTGCAATGCAACAAAAAGTTGAAAAACATCACAAAATGACATAGATGACGGCAATCCAAGAAGAACAGTGCCTGCGTGGCAGTAGGAACAGCTGGGATGCAAGAATGTAAAATGCAGAAGCTCTCTTTCCTCCAGCTGTGAACATTTGCACTCAATTCATTCATTCATTTGTATCATTGCTGAATGACAAACAATCTGAAGGGTGTTGCCTACAAGTGCGCACTGCGCAATGAACTTTGAGGAGGTATAATGCCGAAGTCTGGTGCCCTACAGTTTTTGTTATTGCCACATAATACTTAGCACATTGCGAAGATTCATCATTCCCTCTCTCTCTCTCTCTCTCTCTCTCTCTCTCTCTCTCTCTCTCTCTCTCTCTCTCTCTCTCTCTCTCTCTCTCTCTCTCTCTGCATGCGTGTGTGCGCTTGCTCTTGCTCCCTCTTGCACACACGCACACACCCTCCCCTCCCATGAAAATGGCCAGGCAGCGTCCCTCCCCTGTGTAGATCACTCAGATTCCACCGCGGACAGTGAGGGGGGCCCTCCAGAGGACAGTGGCGGTGCCATGCCATTGTCTCCACACAGGTACTGTCCGGTCAGCATGAACACGACAATCTCTGCTCCAAGCACTATGAAGTGATGGTCAGTGCCAGCTTCTGCTGCAAGTACTGTGACCTTTTGTCTTGCACTCATCCCCCCCCAATCGCTTGCCCGATATGCCTTTGTGGCCTCGACATGCCATGATTGACTAACTGTGAAGATCAGCCTGCTTTCCTGCGGCATCTCAGCAACATGCCGTGTGTCGTCAATGCTTCAAGGAAGCTGTCATGGAAAGTATGTGTCTCTATTCAAGGATTATCCCCGATGCCATCACGCACCACATCGTCTCCGTTCATGTAAGACATGCAACGTTGGACATCCTGCAACTATACCCATAATCGGATCTCCTCCATCCTTGCCAGATGAGCAACAGACGCAGCAGCCTGAGGTGGAAAATAGACTTCTCACATGAACCACCTACAGTGCACTGCACTGAAAGGCTATGTGACACCCGCGGCCTAGGCCGCGGGCAATTCGGCCGCGGCCGCGGCCTGTTTTTTTAATATTTTTTTATACCCCTAAAAATACGTTAAAAAATATATATATTGTCACATCACTACAAACTAAAAGAGCGCACTTTGCGGAACAAAGAATAAAAGCAAAAAACGGGCACAGTGATAACATGCAAAAATAAAAA